ATTGATTAAATATACATAGATAGCCCACGTCAATGGGCATAATGGAAACAAGTTAATTAATAGCCCGGTGTGTCAATAGAGTGCGTGCAGTGTCACGATAGAATAATTAAATAATTATGATTATAATAAAATACTTAAATAGACGGAAACGCCGACAATCGACGACGGTCCAGAGTTCAATGTTCATTCGTGGGATTATAAGATAAGAAATAATCTAAAATCGTATAGTATCGTATTTCCTTATTTGATATTACTAAATTGTAATCGGTCTTCGAGAAAGTCTAAATTTGGAGATTCGAAAATTGTTTTAATTAAATGTATTACTTTAATAAGTAATCGTCGTATTTTTATCATTTAAATTTTGATTTGAAGGAAATTAACTTTATTTTATTATATCATATAATTTTAAGCTGACAGTTAGATATTTAATGAAGACAGCCCGCGTCATTAAGTACCAACGTAAAGATGTAACCTATTATAATTTTATATATTTCACTTTTTCCGTAAAATTGCTGCTCAAGACAATTCAATATCCTATTTAATTGCCATTTCTTGTAACTTAAAGCTAATACACATTAATGTTCTAAACATTCTACTTTTGAATCAACTTGTTATGATAGGACATTAAGTTACAATGTAAATATGTAACATACATTTTTTCGTAATTTATTATTTAAAATACAATAAATAAATACAATAAATACAATACAAATAAAAATATAATAATAATTGTATTATAATAATTACAAAAAATACTAAATAGTTTTACAATTTTAATTATTTTTCAAAATGTTTAGTTTATTTTGGGATTTTTCTGCTCTAGTTTTTTTAATATTTTTTGATTTCCAGTTAAAATCTCGAAGAAGTTTACAATTAATAAGATGAATTATAATGAAATTGTAGTGGTCTTGGCATAATTCGCTAAATTTACATACATGGGAGATTTCTTTTTTTATTTTATTAAAAATAAACTTTTGAATTAATCTTTTGTGTGGCATTTTTTCTACTGTTTTCTTAATAATTTTTTGTGCCAAACTAACAAAGTCTGTAAAACTAGATGTTGGCCTTTTTAAAAAAAAATTTGACGATTGAGAGTCGTAGTTTCTACAGAAAATTAAAAATTCTTGTTGATTAAATTTATCGCCTTCATCAGATTTTAATAATGTACTTATACAGTTACTGCATTTAAATTTCTCAGTACATTTTTTAGCCAAATAACCAGCAAAGTAACTATTTGAACAATTTTCTAAGGAGATTTGAGGTTCATACCCTGGTTCACATTGCTCATATATTAAATCATCCATTGATGACAATGAAAGAGAAGAGCAACTTGATGAGTTTAATTCTTCTTCAATAGTAGGGTTTTTAGACAATCCATCATCTACGCTTAATAAATGAATATCATCATCTGGTTCACAATTTGAGAGTGTGGTTGGCTGCATCAAATTTGACTTACGGACGGAAGGTTGTTCTAAATGTTCTTGCAGTTGGATTTCTGTAATAATACAAGCATTAAATAAAAACTTTTGCGCTCAAAAATATAATATATATAATTACCGATTGTAGCCACCTCTTTGTCGAAAAACACCAAACATATTTTCAATGGCATCAGAATTGAGTCTTCGCAGCAGTAAATAACTATAACCGATTTTAACTTGTTCCTCATATAACATTGTTATAGCATTAATAGTCCATACCATTCCATCAAAACAAGCAGGTCTTACATCTCTGAGTGGTTTTTTTGGGTCTGCAGAAATTTTTTTTAAAGACTCAAACCAAGTCTTTGCTTTTAATAGAAATTCAAGTTGACGTGGACACTTATCAGAAAGAGCACATTTAAAAGGATTAGAATTAAATAATGAATTGCTGTTCAGACAATCAAGTAAATCATTTAATTGTTTTATCATTTCTACAGTGTTAGGAGCTGTTTTAGATTTAAGTTGCTGTGTCATAATACACGTTTTCATTGTAGTAGCTACTTTATTGCTGAATAGTTGCATAGCCAGCTTACATGACATAAGTTGGAATGGTCCCGGGTTAATATGAGCATCAGTAATTTTAAGCAATGATCAACTTGTGCTACTATTTTTGTCAATGTCATATGTGTCCTTAATATCTTTAAATGATACTTCTTCTCCATTAAACAACAAATTATTTTTCCTGAAATGATTTCTAAGATTTTTGAACAGGTGTGGGACATCAAACATTGAGAACACTTTTTTGTTGTCAACAAAAAAATATGGCTTATCTTTTGTTATGCCTAAGTCTTTATAAGCAGCAACATTACTTGCACCTTGGTCACAAACAAGAGCTTTGACTATAAGCCCACATTCAAACAAACGTTTCACGGCTTCCTCAAGTAATTCACTTAAAACTTTGTGTTTTACTGATGTTGCTGGTAGAAAATATGCTATTGGCATCTTCCATGACGAATAAACTCCTCTTATTATCATCACCATTGCCTGTCCTGCAAGTTTATTTGTTCGGCCTTTGTGGCCTAAGTCTTCATATCCTTCTACCAGGTCCAAATACTTGGAATACTCTAGAAAATTCTTTATCTTCATCTCATCAAAAACCAAAGTGCAGTATTTTTCTTCCTCACTCATTGAATCTACCTTAATTTGTAATTGTTTAAATAAAACTGGACTAAATCCTGCTCGACATTTAGAACTTCCAACCCAACGCCTAATTGAGGAAAGACCAGGTAACGATATTTGTTTTGAATAAAATAAAAATTTATAAGCAGAGGGTGACTTATAAAACAAACTTAAGGCAAATTGCTTTTCTTTCTGAGACCATGGTTTAGATTTACTGTGTGATATTTGCATATTAACCAGAGTTTTTGAGTTTTCTGATGGAAATGTTAGTAAGTTCATAAAATGTACAGATTTATTTTGACGGTGTTGTATTCTTGACATTATTAAATTTTTTTTCAATTTTGAGATTGTTACTCTTTTAAGGGCTATTATTTTTATCTGGCGAGCTACTGTTTGTTTCAATTTTAATATTAGATCTGCGTCTGAAGTTGATTTTTGAAAAAGTTGTTTTGGTTTTAAAGCAGTAGTTAATGGCAAATTACTAACACTTTTAAAAAAAGAAGTAGAGTTTGGTGATATTTCTGGAGTAGAAACATTAGATTGTGATGTACTATACTTTGTAGATTTTACAGGTGTAATCAATCGAATTCTTTTAGTTGACTCACAAAATGAAGTTGTTGATGTAGACTGCACTCTTTTAGTTTCAAAAACTTGATGAGGACTTAATGGAAATTTTGATGCTGCAGAATATGTTTTTATAGGTATATTAACAGGTATGTCACTGCTATCTATTTCTACAAACGGTTGAGGAAATGAACTTTTTTTTAATCTGCATTTGTTGTAACTAGTAAAGCTTTCGTCAAGAAAATGATGACCACAAATGTGCCGTTTGTACAAATCATCTTGAGTGAGATCTGCCAAATCACTATTACCTAAATACAATATAAAAAAAAATATTGTATTATTACAATATACCTAATATGAAACTGGGATGTTTTAATCTATAAGTATCAGTTTTAGGAACTTTAAAGACATCTTTAATGAGAACATACTTAACATTGCAATGGGCAGGCCTGGATTAACATATTACTCATATTAATATAATATAATTAATGTTACTTTTAAAGTAACTTTCTAACTTAACTATTTGGTTTTAATTAATGATAACTCTCTACATTTGAAATGAATGTGTAATATTTGGTTTTGATCCAGGGCTGCTAATTGGTACATTGTACATTCATTGATATTTATTAATTAAGTACTTACCACAATTTAAAATCCATTGCCTCGACAAAAGTATATCTTTTGGAAAACGGTATAATTTAAGACCCGGTTCTAAACGAGCACTTTTTCCACATCGTACATACGCACACTTATTTCCACTTCGTGACATTTCGAAAAGTGATTTTATAAGACAAACTTATAACATTTAACTTTTAACAGTGATGAGCGAAGTATAAGCAAGTATACGTCATGTCGTCATGGTGTAACGTACTATAACGTATAACGGTTTATCAACATTGATTAATTTGATATCAATGATATTAGTAATAAGATAACAATAAATTGGAGATTATAAATGTTTATAATTTATATGGCACATCAGCGCATTCTGTTGTCAGGAATCCATTACTACTATAATTCTGGCTCCATTTGAGACATTATATGTGTTTCCAATATTTATCATTGCGTGGGCTATCTATGTATATTTAATCAATGGTACAATATATACGGAGCACAGAACCGGAAGAAAGTTTTAGTTCCCGATCGCTCGACGATCACGGAGTACAAAATGTGTGAAACTGATTTTGAGAAAATCGTGTACTCGACACATCGAAGACTGCACCTTATTATACTATATGTATACTACAGTGATATATATATATATGTGTGTGTGTGTGTGTTCATGTATGAAACACGATCAGTCTCGGCCGGCCGTGGTGAAGAACGTCAGCAAATAACTATTATAATAATATATGTAATATATATATATTGTACGCATATACTGGCGTCTTCGTCCGACGGCATCGGTTCATTAGCGCGTCTATTGAACCGTTTTTCCCGTGGCCAGAGGGTCCTAAGTTTTGCACGAGCACGTTTCTCCGACACCCCACCTTCCCCTTACCCGTCGGCGACACCGTCGTCAAAAGAAGTACAAGTAGAAGAAGAAGAATGAGAAGCAAAAAACCTTCGATCTCGATTTCCGGTCGGAGCAAATCGTGACTTTGGAATCGTCCGGGCCTAACCGTTCCGCCGCCACGTAATGTGCGAGATAATACATGAACGCGACAGCAGTTTATATACCAGCTTTATATATAATCTTAATATATATAAATCTCGTGTCACAATGTTTGTCCTCAATGGACTCCTAAACCACTTAACCGATTTTGATGAAATTTTTTACACCGCGTGTAATTTGGTCCAACTTAAAAGATAGGCTAATTTAAAAAGGGAGAGGACCAACCCCGGGAGGTGCTCAAACGGGAATTTTGAGATTTCCGATGGAAATTTTTGTTTATAAATGGTTGCCATGGGTTTTTAATCTATTGCAATAATAAAAATAATAAAAAAAAAAACTATTTGATTTACTTTTTAAATATAAATTGTAATATAATATCCAACTATAAAAATGTGAAATGAAAATCTCTGTACTACTTATCTCTGGAGCTTCTTATCAGATCTTCTTTATTTTTTTTAAATGAAAGAGTATTTCATGGATAAGGTTTATATGAAAAAAATGTTAGGAAAATCCACCAGTTTATTATATTATATCGGTTGCTATTGGTTAATCGGGCATGTTTTTGATTTGTATCATTATTTTTTGTCAATAGGTATACATATATCATATATTATATATAATAAATACAAAAGATCCGATACATTTAACGGGGCAACGAAGTGCACGGGATCAGCTAGTATATTATATATATTAAGGTACAGTGGCGCCCAAGATATATTTTTCAGGTATAGCAAGAAATAATTTTACCCGTCCCCTCACGAACTCAAAGTTATATTATTTTATTCATACATTTTATCATATTTTAATTGATAATATTAGTAAATATTGAGGTATCAATCAATATAATCTGTGATTAATAATGAACATATTTCAAGTTAATTATTTTATGTTATTATACCTACCCACCCCTTATTTTCAAGGTATAGCGACCGCTACACCTAGTAATAGGTTTGGGCGCCACTGGTGTAAAATACTACTAAAATTATAAAATGTTGTACGTTGAGAGAGTTTTCAGCTTTTTCCCGTTGGATAATTGTGTGTGCAAATGAACCGTGGTACTGACAGCTTTCCACAGCGTCGTGCGAAGCTTTATAATGTTTTACATTGATGGGTCACTATTGGCGTAACTTGAGGAATTTGGTGGGATAATTTTATTTTTTGCCATTCTAACCAAAGATTAGATTTACTATAGGTATCTGTAGTTTGACGCCATATCTGAGCTAAATTTTTAATATTATATTATACCTACATATTATTTGATAATAGGTACCAGAGGTCCCTGTATAAAAAAACAAAAATGTAATTTTATGTGGTATATCCGTTAGAAATATTTTACCTATTAATTTAAGTATATTTTATGTATAGCGCGAGTTATTGACCAAACGTTCTTATCCACATTTTTTCGTATGGTTGTAAATTTATTCAAATTCTTATTTTGGGAAATTTTTTTCAAACACTCACACTTTTTATACCATTTATAAAAAGTTTATTATGGTGGTAGAACCTTTTTTTTTTTACAAATGAAAGCCACAAATTTACTCTAAATGATTGTAAAATAGATAATTTAAAAAAAAATACATATGAATTTAATTTAAAATATATAAGTAGACACTAGATGGACACTAATACAGTAATACCTACTATAATTTATAAGTAGGTATATTATAATCAAAGGTTCATACATATTAACTATTAAGTATACATAAAATACGAGAGACTGTAACGTAGTTAACTAATCAGCCCCTTTATTTCGATCACTGTCCTCCTGAGTCAAAATCGTAGGTTAACCCACTCAAATCCACCTTTTTCCAAAATTATTAAAACGCCACCTTTCCATCTTGAAATGTTATATCTGTATAACTTAAAATATTAAAAAAAAAAAATGTAAACGAGCGTGTAAGAAGTACGCGGGGATGAAGTGAAACTTCTTTCAGTCATACAACTGATATGAGGTTTTGTAATAAAAATAATAATAATAATCTTATGTTAATTAATGGTATATATATATTTATGGTATTAATAATGATATATCAAGAAGGTACCTTCTACAAAGTATACATGTAGGTTACTTATATATAATATAAATAATTGTACTTGTACCATTTTCTATCCAAGTATAAAGGAAACATATTGGTACGTTGGTAATGGTAAATATGTAGATGAAATCAAGTATTAATTAAATATTTATTATTATTATTTATTAAATAGTTTAATTAGTATAGTATAGTTTAGTCATACCATTATGCAATTTACCTGCCAGAATTTAATTAAATACATTAAGTTATATTTTGTTTTCTCACCTAAAAACCGTAATACATTAAGTAATACCTACTACCTACCTTTATAATATTATGTGTAGGTACTTAATTTATACTTTTAGACCAATGGATCAAAATATTTACTAATATCAGTAGTAATTCATGTCCATACATATAATATAACCCTACTATTATGTATATACATACATCTATAAAATACATTAGTCATATTATGTAGGTACATAATATATATATATCAATTTGTTATTCATAAATTATTACATTTGATATTAAATAAATAAATATACTTGATAGACCATAGACATATATATTGAGTAATATCAAATTATGTCATATCATTATACAATTGAACCATCAGAGTATTATATACTATTTGAAAAATATAGGTGCGTTGGTCATTGTAAATGTGTCAAATATTAACTAAATATTAATTATTATTATTATTATTATTTATTAAATACTTATAGTATAGTCATATAATATGATGAAATTCATCGAGTTATATTTTGAATATACATAATTTGACTCACCTAAAAATAGTATATTATATTATATTATATTATATTATCGCGCACTCTGGAATATTTATTATATATGCGTTTTCGCTTTTATCAACTTGACTACGGAATATTGTTTATACCATGATAAAATAACATGGTATGCTGGCAACTTTATGATACGCATACCCCTTACCCCGCCGACCATCATACAGAGCTGTATCCAGTTCGCCGCTTTTCATTGGTTTTCATGATCAATATATATACATAGTGCATTATGAGGAGAACTGGATACAATGAAATGCGCAAACTCCGACGATATTCAGTTCGTTGCCATCATACCATGTTATTTTATCATGGTTTATACGTTTATACTGGTTTGTTTATAATATCATATGATATGTTTCCAAAAAGATTACAAAATATTGAAACGGAAAATATCAAAAACTTTATAAACAAAACATCGTACCGTTTTCGTGACGCGCGAGCGTCCGTGACGCCCGAGCGTCACTCTCTTTTTTTTCAATACCCCTCACATAAGAAGTTTAACTTCAAAAAATATGTGGATGACAAAATATAAAAAA